CCTTATTGCCAATTTTATGATTAATTCTAAAAAAAAAAAAAAAGCTGGAATCCAGACTTACATACAAAGATTTTTTAGACACAGACAACTAATTGGGATTGAAAAAAAATACTTAAAAATAAAATGAAACAAGTCATCAAGCACATCCAGCATCCAGTTGAGACTGTGTCCTGAAGGAGCTGGTTCTTCAAATATCAACACATACTTTGAACATGGTGACCACATACACTCATTGCCTCCATCTAACATGACTAAAATTAATTTTCTATGGCTAACCATATGCTTGTTTCTACCAGACTCGGCATTTTTCATCACCATGTCCCTCTTTGGAAGAGCCAACTGGGGTGTTTGTAGATCTCCAGTTAGTGGCAACAGGACCATTTTATCTATCAGTCACAATTGACCAAACTGCAAGCTTCTCGAGGGCCTACAAAAATGTGTAAAATATGAAGAAGAAAATGAATGAGGCAAGCAGAACCAAAAGAACTATAAAATGAAAACGAATAAATACAAAATCAAGTGTCTACACACTGGCATAAGTCAGCTGACCAATTCAGGTATGGGGTCATATCATATCATGTTAAATGGAGGATACAGGTATATTTCAATATTTGATACAACTGTGGAGGGGAGCCCAGATCCATAGTGCTTAGGTCCTGCCAAAGTTCTAGAAGAACCCGAGTATAACCTGAATCCAACCACTCTGCCATAAGTCTAGTCTTCTTTTATAGCTATCACAAATTTCTTTACCCAGGTCTATTCCACCCATTCAATTGTCCACAGAGTTGAATGCAGAACTGCCCACATAGTTGAACATAAACCACAAATGACTTATAAAAATTCATTTTTGAATTCTCATCTGCATATAAATTTGTAAGACAAAAGTTTCAAAGAAGTAGCACAAAAAAAGCATGTTTTGAGGGTTCCATGTAATGATTTTAATTATTTGTTAATTTACTGCCAACATTTAGAATCTGGGATATTTCATATAAAATTCAGATTGTCATTCTCTTGAAAAGACAAACTAGAAAATGTGGAGATATTGGGCCCAGATGATGGCATGGGAGCAATCTACTAATGATAAAACAAGGCCACCCCTTTAAGTGGAGCATGTTCTCCACTTGGTCACAAACTCTATCCTCATTTAAACTAAATGGCTGTCCCTACAGACATTTAAGTGCAAGACCCCTGGTCTAAGGTCTTTAGAGAAACCTTATTTCTCTTCCACAACACAGCTTCAATATCTTGTATGGAACGATATGGAAATATCCCAACCTATTCTCAAAATTCAACACCTCCAGAAGTATAGCAATTAATTCTTATGCTAGTTTAAGATATCAGTCTAAGAAGAGGTTCCATCAAATTCCTCTCAATGTATTCCCAATTTGAACCATGATCCCCAGGAAAGTAGACAAATGACAAATTACCTTTCAGTTTCTCTTACTCTTTCAGCTAACCGAGGTAGAGCCCTTATAAGGTGGAGTCAAAGCTCCAACATGGAATGTCTTAATTAAGTAGAGTGATCAATAAATAATACATATAATAATCTTAAAAGAAGATTTGGGACTGAGTAAAAAACAACAAAGGACTAATCATCATTAAGGATAAGAAGACAATAGCTATATTTGGAAGCGAAAAGAAAACCCCCCAAAATATGAAGAAAAAGCTAGTAGAATTTAATCCAAGTTTATCATTAACCTACTATATAGTTCTACCTCACCTACACCCACATTCAAAACACAAATCTTATTTTGGGGTGGCAGACTTCTGACAACTGTATGCTAATTGATACTTTACATATTATTTTCTTCCTGGTGAGAAAATTAATTGAACCCAGGGAAAGAAATTCCATATACATTGTCAGTGGGTCACCAATTCACTTGAATCATATAATAAGGATTTTTTTAAAAACATATAGACTTTAGTTTAATTTGTTAGCCACATCACAGAAAGAAATGTTCAAACAGTAGATTTTCCACTTGAAATTAAAATGGAAATTAGCCCTTAGAAAATAGAGATGACTTTAAGTTTATACATCAGTGGCTGGTTCATGAATTATTAACTGATTTTAATGATCCTGGCTATATTTTATTTGAAGTTATTCTCCTTCTTGCAATGACTTTTGAACCCTCAAAACTCTTTCATCCATTCTCCATAGACAGAGTACACTTTCATGAGCGCTGACATTTAAAAAGGATCCATATACTCCGAATGTAAAGATAATACACTCACATATAATTTATACAAAGGACTCTAGTCATTTGTTAAAGAGAGAAATGAATGAAACCCTATTATTCACGGTTTGTAAATAAATTTAAAGATAAGCGCTAACTTTTCACTTGTTACGCCTGGAGCCGAGAGTTCTGTGTTCCTTCTAAAGTTTCCCAGATGGTCGTTAAAACAAGAAAGGGCAAAAACATACTTTTTTTTTGGAAATTCATCATTTCCCATCCAGAAAGATAATGCAAGTCATTTAAAGTCTTAAGAGATTAATAATTACAGGTATTTTTATATAAAATAAATGCATGTCTTTATGTGCTAGGTTTTACATTTTTAATATAAACCTCACTAAACAGCACCACTTCAGACACATAAGTTAGCTGTGAAACAAAATGCTATAAACCTTTAATTAGCACTTGCTGTTTTATATAAAGTTAACATTTCCTCTTCTACTACATTAAAAGAAAAATTACGGTGAATAAAACTGGGAGATAGAAAATCGAGAGTAGGAAAACATACTATTGTGGCTCAACTTAAGGAATGCTTTATTTCAAGGACTCTAATATATTTTTACCTGTAAGTAAATGGAAATGCCCCTTAGAATAAGTACAATTATATTCCTCCCAATATTGAGTGCTGTACCTAACTTTCACAAGTTGGGTACTACAGCACTTACCATGATCAGATTGCTGATTACTAAGACAGCAGGTTATTTCAGAAATATAGCTCAATTAAGATGACAGCAAACCAGCTTGCTACCACACTCTGAAGTTCAACAAGCATCCTAATAAATAATGTCTGTTTCCAAGCTTTATGTGCCCTCCCTGAAATAAGTATGCTGAGTTTAAATTGACTCAAAATAGTCTTTCTCGGAAGATAAAAAGAGACACACAAAAAAACATCCACAATTTCCTCTGGTCCCTTGAAGTACCTTGGGATCCTAGTGAACAGAGATTTGCCACGCATTGCAGTGACTGGATTAGTACAATAGGTTTCTATTTTGGTGTCATTCGAGTGTTGCTGATCTTGAATCAGAGAAAGAAGTAGTTACATTAGACAAGGTAATAGCTTCCCAAAATAAGAGCATGCCCGGTTTATACAAGGCTGGCACACATAGGCTAAGTTGTAAGGAGATAAATAATACCCCACTGGAACAATTAGGTGGATTCTCAGAAACACTACATACTTAATTAGGCTGCCTAAGTCCCTGACTGAGCATACATGGGGGACTTTTTAAAGCATTTAATAACCTGAGTAAATCCAAAATCAGAGGACAAAAACCAATCCTTAACTCTGACAACAGCCATCGGCCTTTTCTTGCTCCGTTTCCAGTGCTTAATGTATTACTCTTGGAATTCCGAGAGCACGAATGCGCCCCCCCCCCCCCCCCAAACACTACCATCAAGGGGTTAAAAACACTAAGTCCCTTCGTTCGGTGCTTATTGGGAGGGCCCTGTGTGCCAGACGCGGAGCTGGCCCACGATGGCACAGGGGAGAACAAGAGCGATCCTAATGGTCTTTACAAACTTCAGCACTGGAGTTGGGAAGGAAGTACAAACAAATAGGAAGGAACACGAGCCTCCATCAGCCACCGGGCACAGCAAACTGTCCCTCACTCTAGATACAATTCCTCCTCTTCCTGTTATTTATTCATTAGTTTTGTATAGCACCTTTCTTTCAGCAGCCTCCTTATTTCCTCTTCTGTTATCCAAGCAATCATAAACAAACTAGTATTTGAAAGAAAGGGGGGAGCAGGGGGGAGGGGAAAGAAAACCACATTTCAAAAGGCTCAGGCCCTACAGAGCACGGGTCTTTCTCAGAATGTCGCCCTCGGGGTGATGCTTTCTCCAAAGCTCGGCCCTGGAGGCTTAAGGGAGAACAGAGAACCGGAGCACGCGCGGCTCTGGCACCCGGGCTACAGCCCGGCACCGACTCGCTGCGCCGCCAGCCCGCCTTCGATCCACCTTCAGCCGCCTGAAACACTGGGTTCTCAAAGTTGGCGCGGGGGGGGGGGTAGTGCAGGAGCGTAGGGTGATCCCAAGGCGTGGTGTGGAGGTCTGCAGCTCTGATCTCCCCGAAAAGCCAAACTTAACCCCCGCCCCCAAAAATGAAAGATGAGAAGCCACTTGCGATGACCCGGGAGGGGCGGGCAGTTCCGTTCCTTGGTCCAGAGCGCCCCAGCGGGAAGGTAGCAGAGCCCACCTGCAGGGATCCCAACCACTTCTCCCACCCCCCTATCTCAGGTCCAGGCAGGGCAACATTCAAAAGTTTGTTCTTCCGTTCCCCAGTTCCCCAAGCGGCCCCGGGGCCAGCTCTCGAGCGGGTGGGGGAGGTAAGATGGACTGAGCCGAGGGGGGCGAGATCATCGGACCACGAGATCAGGGACCCCAGGGTTGCCCAACCCACCCCACCCCACCCCCCGTTAGGGGGGCTGCGATCGTGTTTACTAATAACAGCAACAAAGAATCACACGCGAGTCCCGTATTTCAGTCCTCGGCTGCTCTTCGCTCCTCTTTGGGGCAGCATGGAGAGTCGGGGAGGAGGTGGGAGGAGAGGCGGAGGGGCCGCGCAGAGCGCCCGCAGAAGGACAAAAAAGGGGGGGGTGGAAAGGGGTAGAAAGGATAGTTGGACAGAGATGAAGGCGCAAAGGGAAAGGAGTGGTTAAGGGAGACAGAGGGGAAAGAAAAGTGCAGCAAGCGGTGAGCCGGAGCGCGGGGCGCGCCCGGGATGGGGAGGTGGCCCCTGCCCCCCACCCCCCTGGCCCGGCCCGGCCCGGTCACCTTGCTGTAGCCGTAGTACCCCAGGCACTGCGCGAAGTCCAGGCCGGCGGGGTCCCCGGCCGCCGCGGGGTAGAACCTCACATCCATGCCGGAGCCTGGCCCGGGGCCGAGGGCCGGGACTGGGGCTCGCCGGGGCCGGTGCCCGCCTCCTCGCAACCGCTAGATCCACCGTCGGGGGCGCCCGACTGGGGGCGCCCGGGGTCGGCGCGCGGGACTCGGGGCTGGAGGGGCGTCGCGACCGGAGCCCAAGGAGCCCGGGAGCCGCGATCGCCGCACACAAAGGCGCGGCCACGCGAGCCGCGGGAGAGCGGGAGGCGGCCCGGGGGACGCGCCCCGCCGGGGCACCGAGATAGCCTGCGCGCGGGCCAGGCGCCCAGGTCGCGGGGCACAGCGCGGGGGCCCGGGGCGGCGCGGCGAGTTCAGGTGCGCTGGGCAAGGCTGGGACGGCGGCGGCGGCGGCGGCGGCGGCGGCTGGCCCCGCTCCTCCTCCTCCTCCCCGGGCGTACTGAGGAGAGGAGCCGCGGAGACGAGGGGCCCGGCCCCTCCCCTCCTTCTCCCCCTCCTGCCTCCGCCGCCGGTCCCCTCCCCGCGCCGCCGCCGCTCCGCCCCTCCCACCGCGGGCAGCTGGCGCGCCGCCCGCCCCGCCGGTGCGCTCCCTGGCCCGGCCCGCCTCCGCGCGCGCGACCCCGCCCGGCCCCTGCCCCGCGCGGGCCCAGCCGCTCACCCCGCGCCTGGAGCAGCCCTCGCCTGCCCTGTCGCTCGCGCGGCGGGCGCCCCTCTCCCGGGCCCCTCTTCTTCCCACCTCACCCCCCTTCCCTCTCCGGTCCTCTTTGTCCCCGCTGCCTCGCAGCGCTCCTCGCTCCCCTCCTCTCCTCGGCCGCTTCGGCCGGCCCCACCGCCGCCAAGTCCCGTGGCCCCGGCGTCCCACCCTCCTCCTTCCCGATCCCCGCGCGCCTCGGCCCCAGCATCCCCACGCGGTCCGCTCCCGACCCGCCCCTCCTTCCTTCGCTTTCCTCAGGTCCCCATGCTTCCCCGTGGGGGTCTGTCCCTCGGCCCCTCCACCCTCCCGGCCCTGTGTCCCGAAGGTCCCTTGCGTGGGCACACCTTTCCCAGCAGACAACCTGCACGCGTGGCTCCCGGTAGCCGGGTCCCGGGACCCCATGTACACCTGTGGTAGTTTTCAGAAGGGGTGTTGGGGCCTGACCTTTCACAGGTAGGCAGACTTGAAGCTTCCCGGGTTAAGCCTCCTGTCGGTTCTCTTCTTATTTTCTTTGCTCTTGTTTGTATTCGAAAGGCATTTGAGTAACTGGATCTAGGCGGATCATTCACTGTTCTCAGAGAGAAAATGTCCCTATTTTCCTAAAAGGTTCTGGGTGATTAACTTCCCCATACTGCACTCACCCACCCCCTCTTTATTTCTTTCTCTTTCTTTAAGCTACATTTTTTTTTTTTCTGTCCTCGGCTTTATTGCTGTGAGTTAATTTGAGAGTTTGGCCTTCAGCCTTGGCGGAAGAAAACGTTAGAGAGTCTGTGGAATCTGCTCCCGGTCCCCGGCTCAGTTATCTTGTGAGCTACTTTAAAAGTAGAGAATTTTCGAAATATTTCATCAGACACGCGCAAACAGTGTCGTTCCTCGATCATACTTTGCTGGCCCTGGGCCTGAACTTTTTCAGACAAGCATTACACGGGTTTTTTATTTTTTTCTCTCTCCAAAGTAGACACTCGGGCTTGTGACACCTGTATGTGTACCTTCACTCAATATTATCTTTCTGGAACCAAGCAGGGAAAATAAACTTCAATTAGGTGAAAGTGTGTGTATTTGCTCTTCTCTTAGCAGAAACCTGGGTTGGGAGACTGCAAGAAAGCTATGTGTGTTCAGGAAAGGAACAACTGCTCACATTGTCCCTGGGTTGACTCCGATCCCGAGTCTCCATTTAACGTTGACAACCCAGCGGCGCTCCCTAATGGCCCAGCAGGTTGCACAAATTGGCAGTGCGCTGAGATATTATCAGGACAACACCCCATTGAGTAAGTTCTTGAAACGCAAAAGTGGAGGCCCTTTCTCTGGGCCACTGGGTGCCTGTGGCCTTTCCACCAATCAGAGCTGGAGGTTGCAGTGGCCACCTGTTGTCGAGAAAGAGAGCATCTTTTAGAGTATTTAACAATGGTGTAAAGTGCAGAGTCTGGCCACAAGAGAGGAGCAGCCTGCTGACCTGGGGTGCCAGAAAAGAATTCCCCCAGATAGCTCTTAAAAGGAGCCCAAAAGGCTGGGAAGCTGAGTTTTTCTTTGTAAATGCCTCACCTTCTGCTCATTCTGCCGTTCATCCGGAGCAATCTGAGCTTGATTACAGAGAACGAAGGAAAGTATAATCAAAGTTCCAGACAGAGTAAACCTGAAGTTGTAATCAGACCTCCAGAATCAGGCATACTAATATTCTTCGAAGTGAAAGCCTGCTGGCTGTCAGAGCAGGAATTGAACCTGGGCTGATGTGCAGCACTAAAACTCGGAAGAAACTGAAGTGTGAGAATCTTGCCCCAAGAGATTCTTAGGGCTTAGGAATGCCCAGTCACACCCCAGAACATCTTTGCCTGCTGTTTTGGAAGTCTTTGCTTTAGAGGATGCAAACAGAGGAGGACAGTACTCATTGGTCTGCATTTTATTATTACAATTTAGGCTAGAAGGTAAACAAAGTTAGGAGTATAGATTTTGATTAGAGGGAAAAAAATAAATGAGACTTAAGATGTGTGTATAGAGCCATTTAGAAAGAAAAAAAAAAAATCACTGGTCATTTGGGAAGGCTGTCCCTTGATTTTATCCAGTCTCCATGCATTCAGAAACTATTTTGGAGTACCTAAAATGTAGGAGGCACTATTTTAGGCACTTGTGAATAAGAAAGAATCTCAACATGACACTGGAAGTCCTTAAAAAGAACTAACTCTGAAGTGGATTACATACACACTTACACACTTACACACCTTTTCATGCATACATGCACACAAGCCCTGTCCCATCCAGTCACCTGGAGATCTTCTCATGCCACATCTATCATTGATATTGAGAGAAGCAATCTGATAAACAAATGCACACATAGTGTGAAAGAGGCCAGACTCAAGGCCTCCATGAAAGGTGTAAGAGAAGGCAGGAAAGAGGAGACAGGACACACCACCAGATCACTGCAGGATCCCAAGGACACAGGGCCATGCTCCATACACGGTGTGTTTGCAATAAACAAGTAATTCAAAGGCCAGTTCGGAAGGAAATAAGGTGAGAAGAAAGGAAGGAAAAAAGAGGAGAGAGAAAGAATGTTTAAATAGTGGAAGATTATTTGCAGGAATCTGGTTAAGGAAGGATTTGAGAAGAGTGTATCCAGGACCTCTTGGTTTGGTTAAGAACAATCTACCTTGGGAGGAGAAGGGTAGGGCCTTTTATGCCCTGCTATTTTAGAACCTTTGTGTACTTTAAAATTAAGATCATGTGTTGCTTCATTTAGAACTGATCTGATTCAACTCTTCGTTGCATTTGAAATGCCAATTAATTTTAAGAGTTCCTGGGGATTTGAAGCCCTTCCATTAAAAGTTTTCGAGTGATGCTCTAAAAATTGTAAGGCAATTCTAACTGTCATGCTATTTGTCATCTCAAGGGTGTCACCTTTTTTCAGTCTGTGGGCAGTCTTGTTTCCTGAAATACCATAGACAAAGGTTTCCTTCATACTAGGTTAGCCTTGAATTTGAAGAAACTTCTCCAAGAATGCATCTTAAATATGCTTTGAATTTATGCTGAACAGTGCTAACAGTTATTGATTAAAGAGGACAGAAGAATCCCTTGTGCAGCCAAAATACACTTTGCAAACATAAGAAAACTTCTTTAAGGTTCTTATATGATTTGGATCAAAACAGTTTTATTATATTGATGTTTCTAATTGAATAATTGACATCACCCAAGAATCCCTAAAACAAGCTAAGGAAAATACATAAACTTTAACATAATAGGGAAATTACACTGTGACAGAACCCTGAAAACTTCACTTCTCTACTTTACCTGCCTCCAAATTAAGCAAGAAGGTCCCCAAGAGGACTGCATTAAACCTAAACCTGCTGAGTTTTATAACCAGAAATTGTACTGAGACTCCTACTTTTCGGAATCTGTGAAAGTAATTTAACCCCTCTGGGTTCTGCTTGCCCAGATGAGATGAGGATACTATTAAACATTATATATAGTTTAATTCTCGTGAGTTTGGGTGATGAAAAGTTCTATCCAAATATTATGATCCTTGTTTGCAATATGTAATGTAGCCAAATTAACAGCAGCTCCAAATGGAAATTAACAAGGCCAGAGCTCCTCAAGTTTCTCCTCGTGTATTCCCATAGTAACAGCTAATGTATTATATTGGTAAAATGTCTGATAGTTGGTTTTATATCTGAATTTGACTTCATGTCATAAAGCATAGCTTTCCTATCCAGCCTGGATTCTTAATACGTGCATAAAACTCAACTCCATGGAATTTAATAGAGTTTCAATGTCAGAGAATCAACACTTCACATTCACAGTCTAAATGACATGCAGATAAAATCAAGACCTACTGAAGGTTTTCACAATAGTGAACATACACATACATGGTATAGAGGAAGAATTCTGACCTTGGGGCCCTCATTAGGTGTCTCTAGTGCAGGATCTAAAACTAATCACCAGGAGAGTGTTCCACACAGGAATTATAGTGTTAAAAAAAAAAAAAACATATCATTTTTAGTTTCAGTTTTCAATGAATCTAAACTTTTCTGGTCTGGAAATGCGAACTGTTTTGATATTTTTACTTTAGTTAAAAAATACAGTAGCTAGGCAAATGGCGGGGGTGGTAATAAACAAACTTTTCCTCCTCCAAGATAATAAATATATATTCAGTTTTGCTCTTTCTTTCTGTGTATATATACCCAGTTTTGGTCAGGTTGGCCTCTGTGCCACAAGGCACAAGAAGAACTCTGAAAAACCAAGCATTTTCCCTGTGTACCATACTTTTACTAAGAATAGATACACCCATAGGTTCTGACAGATATATAGTAATTATGGAACAGTAACCCCAAAACCCTAGTAGCAAAAGAGTACTAACCAAGAATTCATTCTCAGAAATATGAAATGCAGCAAGTATTTGCTCGTGACCTGAGTAACTCTTTAATAAAGCTGTTTTAGAAACCAATACACTCGACACAATCAGGAGGTGTGCAATTTTCAGTGTATTTACACCCTATCTTCAAAAAAATAAAAAGGATCCGTATTGGTAGAAATCCTCAACTGCTGTCCTGCCTGTTTTCTGAAATATATTCTATTTCTTCTAAAGTGAAAGAATGACCTCTTTTGCAGGAACAATTTTCAGAGACAGTGTGTTTATCAAATGGTTTCTCTGCTTTCATAAAAACAATTTATTTTCACTGAACTCTTCAAGATAAGCATCAAAGCCAGGAAGAATGTACAATGAAGTTTATAATTACACTCCAGAAACAAATACCGGGTAGTTTTTATTTTGCTCAAGTGA